CTGCTTGACTTATTTCCCTTAGCATAATCTCCTCCAGTCCCATCCATGTTGATGTAAAAGTTGGGTATTCATCCTTTCTGATGGCTGAGTAATATTCTATAAGTACACTTTAAATGGATGAATTGTCTGGTCTGTGAATTGTATCTCTGTAAGGCTATATTTAACAAGGCTAAGCATATTTATATTACAAAATTAAAGTAGTTTTTACAGAACTAAATAGAAAAAAAATGAGTGAAGACATGTTCTGATTCTGGTGACAGTGGAGTTTATTTAAACCTGTATTTACTTTTTTTAATTGAGTTATTATTGAAATATAACATTATATTAGTTTCAGGTATACAACATGATATGATATTTGTATATATTGTGAAATGATCACCACAGTATTTACTTTTTTGGTGTTTTTTTTTTTGTTGAAACATTAACATTTCTTTTTTTTGTTTGTTTTTTGTTTAATTGACAGAGAGAGACAGTGAGAGAGGGAACACAAGCAGGAGGAGTGGGAGAGGGAGAAGCAGGCTTCCCGCAGAGCAGGGAGCCCGATGCGGGGCTCGATCCCAGTCCTGGGATCATGACCTAAGCCAAAGGCAGACGCTTAACGACTGAGCCACCCAGGCACCCCAAAACATTAACATTTCTTAGCTTAGAAAGCCGTGTTTCCAATTGAGGCCAGAGTGTGTATTTCAGAAAAAAGCCATGCTGCATATTGTGGAAGGAAAAATCCACATCCTTCTATCAAGATTAATATTGTCTTTATTATTTTATGTTCCTAATTGAGGGTGTGACAGAAGTATTTAGATCAAGAATTTCATATAGAAATGGAGACTATACTCCCATACAGAGTCTCAGGTGGGTGAGGTTTGTGCAGTTCTGTCTCCAAGAATCCCAAAGTGTCATTCTCTGGAGGAGATGTATTTGTCAGGGGCAGGAAGGAAAAATGTTTAATTTGCATAGAGGGGTAGTAATTTAGGGGAGAGGACCTCGTTATACAACTGGGAAATAATACTTTACTGCAGACAGCAAGAATCTTAGAGTTCTCTGATACTAAAAATAAGACTGGAAACTTTGTTGTTAGGAGATTGTTTCTGGTTAACCTGGGGCATGCCTTGCCTTCTCACTAGCTCTCCCGACGGTTACAAGGAAAGGGATGGAAGGTGGGGGACGTCCTGCAGGCTGTGCTGCGGTACTATGAAGTGCGGGAGAAGCCGGCCGCCCCGGAGAGCTGCAAGTCCCTGTTCGACTGGCTCTTGGAAAACGCGTAGTACAAACCTGTGGCCAGTACATCTTACCGTCTGGGGAGAGGAAGAAACAGATAAAGATGCAGATGGTAAACTTTGAATATTAACACTGATAAATGAACTGGGAGGGAAGTAAATTGAGCTTTTCCAGCGCAGTCATCCCACGTTGTATATAGTTGATACTTTTGTAATCTCTGTCAAATATTATCTTCATCATTCTTCTATACACGTGTGTAGTGTGTTAAGACCCTAAGAACGTTGATTTGAAGGAAGGTTTGACCATGAGGTTTTCAGGGACATTGACTGACAGATTCTTTTTGCATCCAAATAGTGCTGCTACAGACCACACTGAGGTGGCTGAGGATAGGTTCCAGGGATAAAGCCTTACAGTTCTGCTCCTTTGCAAACAAACGCTATTCTGTTGAGAACTAACCTGACAAAAGAACTTTGAGGTTAGTGGGCTCCCCGCCCCACCCCCCGTAGAATTTCTGTCTTATTTTTCAAAGTCAATTTTATTTTCATAGCTCAACTCTCGGTAGCTTCTTGAATCTCCCAAACTATTTAATTTCTTAGAAACATATTAGTATTTTAGGTTTCTATAAATACCATAAATGATAGTTTCCCCAGCCTTTCGTGAAATGACATTGTTTGCTAATGTTGCCAATCCATCTGGCATGAAAATGAGTGTGTGTGTGTGTGTGTGTGTGTGTGTAAGTAAGGGAGTACTTTAACCTTGCCTAGTGGGTTTGTGCCCTTTTTTATTTTACTGTTTTCTTGGTTAGAAACCCACTGTTGACATTTAAAAGGTGCTTTAAAATAAAATGTCTATAAAGATTGTGCAGTAAGAATTTTTATTTCTCTTTTTGACTATTTTGGGTCCCCACCTTATCCTATAAATGAAAATAAAGGTGCAAAACATGCTAAAATTTTAGAAATTAATGTTAATATGGAAATGCATTTAGAGAAGCCCAGTAATGATTTTCATTTTCCGATTTTTGAAAAAAAAAAACCGAACACATACACAAAACTCTCTGCTTAGCAAGGATAAGCTTTTTCTAGAAAAAGGGGATTCCCAGCCCCTCCTCCCTTCCCCCCGATAAAATGGTATCTGCTCTATTTTGTAAAGTTGTCTGACATGAGTTTTCTGGCTCTATGTTTTCTACTACTTTGTCTTTAGAAACTGCAAGTTGGCTTGAATTAGAGGACCAAGATTGTGTCTTGGTTTTGTATGAGGGTATGCACATGTGAATTTTTGGTTCTTCCATTAGCGTAAATCTAGAGTAAATCACTTTTTGTTGGGGGCTTTGGTTTTGCTCCATTACATTTCCTTTTTTCCTGAGCATTGACTGTTCTGGAAGCTGCACAAAGTGTAGAAGACACAGCACCCACCGAGGGGCAAGGAATAAGGCACTTACATTAATTTGAATTAATCATTATGGTAGAGAAATGTATTTTATAATGAGAGAGTAAAATTTGCTTTATAAGAAAAATGCCAAAAGCTACTTAAATATTTTGAGGTTACAGTGTAAACTTTGGTTTTTCTCAATTTAAAATAAAGAAATAGAGCAAGCCTTAAAAATAATTTTTCCTAAAGTTTCTTCAAGTATTTTTTAAGGTGGAGAAATGCAGGAAATCTGTATAGCCAGAATGGTTTCCATCTTTAGCTTCTCAGAGCTTGAGATGCAGCAGCACTGGACTGGGTTTATACATGCTAGGAACTGGATTGTTGATTAGAACATGGGTTAACTGATTATTAAGTTTAGATTGGATTTTTACAAGTATATAACTATCAAGCTGTGTTGAGTAACTTCGATAATGTACGGGTTTGATTAACAGCAAATCGAGTTCTGAATTTCTTTTAAACTCAAGTGAAAATCTATCCATTTTGTAACACTTTCTGTGCTTGAAAATGTTTATGTTTATATCTCTTATGGTAATAATCATTTTGAAGTAAGATTTTCCTCCTACCCTTGTTTTCTCTGCATTTACCTGGAGCTGTGCTGGACTCAGAGTTCCTTTATGTAGCCACTACGTGATGACAGACCAGTCTTTGGGTGTTGGCATGTGTGCTAAGAATCCTAATGGAGCCCCACCCCTGTATCCACTTAGGGGCATAGAGAAAAATATTAAGTATTGGCAGATGCGAAAAGAAGCGTGAGTAAAGCTCCTTATATGGAGAGAAGTATCTTTTGATCAAGTACAGCCTAAACTTACTTTCTTTAAAGGCACTTTGTGATTATTCCAAAGACATCTTATGTCTGTTTGGTTGCTTGGTCGCCGGAACAGCCGTGTTTGTTGAGAGGACCGGACCGCCCCTCACCCCTGTCTCCTTTTATTACAAGTCTCCTTGACAGATTTATATTATAACATTGTAATCTTGCCATTCTGTGCATTTCGGCCCTTACGAAATTACCATGTCTTCTTCAGAACTGTTAAAGTTGTGATGTGCATTGAGTTGAATTCTCTGTTTATCAATCTCAGGACCCTTGAAGGATCTTGGGAAAGAAAGTGAATGAGGTCTCTGATAAGGGTTTTATTTTAGAACATTATTTTCGACTGAAATATAGCAATTCTTTCATATTCTTCTTTTCCCAAGCCAAGTTTAAATTACATTTATATTTTGGAGATTATAAATGTTGATTTTGAAAGTATTTCCTGATTTATACAAAATGAATGATTCATTTATAAATCACAGAAGAAAATTAAAATATCTATTGGGATGGTTGATAGAATTTAATGGAGTAATAAAACCTTTTCACTCAGTGAATACGTGTGATAACATCTTTATACTTTGAAAAATGTTCCACTTACCCTTTCAGATATTTGATGTCAGTTAATTCAATTCATAATACTTCCATTTTGCTTAAATAAGGGTTTTATGTTGCTGGTAGGAGAATTTAATTACTTATTAAATGTACCAAGTATAAAGTGAAAGATCATTTATCCCACATGGCTTTGACATCAGTGCACATTTCCTAAATGCAAAACTTAACCCTGACTCATCATCGGAGTCCAGACTCAAGATGTCTTCTTAGTTAATTATTTAGCTAATAGTATTCTTTCACAGTTAACTATCAATTTCCCATCAGTATGTTGCTTTAAATTTTATATTTCTCAAAGGAAACTTTCCACAGTTAAAAAATATATATTAATGCATCCACACTCAGGGTATAGGGAAAATACTTTTCCATTTAAAACCCTGCCCACCTGTCACCAGCACAAGACAATTAGAGCTTCAGTGGGAATTCTATGGTTATACTAAAGTGAAATGCATTTTTTTTTGTCATTTTTAGCAGAAGACCCCACATGCATTACTCACTTACTGTATTCCTGCTCTGAAGATGCAGTGTTGGTCACTCTTGTCACTTTATTTATTTATTATTATTATTATTATTATTTTTTAACCATCCATGTACATTCCTTTCACATGGGTAGAATTGTAGTTCTAGAAGTCCATTGTTTTTGTTGTAATGTTTGAATACTATTTAATACCAGGTTTTAATATTGCTGGATTTGCTAACTTTGGTTAATTGTGCAGTGTTTAAAGTAATTCACATTCTTGTTTAATATATATATAGCAGAAGCAGCTTTGAGTAATTGTAGCTGTTTATTTGTGCAGAATTACTACATTAAGATCTTGTATAACAGTAACTTTTTTGGCTTTTCTGTCCTTTGATACGTTCATTTACCAAAATATGAACTTCAGGATGCACTATACTTTTGTTTTTGCAGTGGCTCAAAATAAACATTTCAGAAATTACCTTTGTAATCATTTGCAATTAATTGTTCTTCTATCCTTTATGAATTGTTTGTCTGTTATCTTTCCTCTCCCAACTAAGAATTCTCCAATAAACGTAAGAGATGCCTGGCCTCGATTTCCTTCTATAATATCTCGTTAACTACTCTGTCCTGAACTAAACAAGGGCATACAAGCGGAACTGCCATGATAGAAGACATATCAGATGATCTCCATGCTTCTAAAGTGGTTTCCGAGTACTAGGGAAGCTAGATATTTTTAACCGGACACTGGATTCTAGCCATATGTTCAGGTGCCTCTGAATGCTAACATAAGTGACTTGAAAGGCTGTTTGCCCAATCTGGTTTGCACTTGAGTGCCAAGTAGAATATTATGGTTGCATGTCGGGAAATTCTTCTGGCCTGGGTGTAGCACTCCTTCCATAGGATATTGAGAGCATCCATACCTCTGTCATGCCATGAGCATCAGGCACTTAAAAGTTAGATGCTGATTGTTTGTTGCTAATGGAATATGACTTGTCTCTTAAGTATGTAAGGCGCAGAAATTAGGGAATGATTTTCTAGCTTTGTGTGAGTGTTGTAAAATACTAGGAACTAATGATAGTAAACAGTGGCTTGGGTGTGAGTGGATCCCAGTCACCAACAAAACAATTCAAAAATGCTGAGAAAAAGTAATCAAGATTCCTTAGCCTGGAATTCCACAAAGGAAAAAGGGTTCAAAAGGAAGAGGAAGTTGTGACAATTGGCATTTGAACAATTTTGCACATTGGGATCATTTGCCATGTGTGTCTCAGCTGGGGTAGTGAGGAGGATGAGGGACAGGGCTTGAAGAGTTAGCTCAGGGACACCTGGGTGGCTCAGTCGTTAAGCGTCTGCCTTC